GTGTGGCGGACATATATGGACAGCAACTGGTCGAGGACCGGGCCGCGGGGACACTAGAGCCCCGAAATCAACTCAAGATAACCTCAAGATAACCTACAGCATTCTTGACGTGAGTGGAACACAGACTTGTTCATCGTGTTCATTAGATAAGAACAAGATAAGAAAATGATATTTGATGAACTTATATATTATTGCTGGCTTAAGTGATACAGTTAGTGATTAGTGCCCAATCGCTATCAAACAGTGAGGTGAAGATGGGCGTCTGGCGCGCCTGGCTACCGTGGTTGATTGTGGTAGTGGTGATTGTGGTGCACAGTCGACAGGACTCGAACCACCGCCAACTAAGTGACAAGCCGCTGCGCCATCTGGCTATCTACAGACATTCCAGAACCCGACACACCTCTGCTCCCTCCAGCGTCTTGAAGGACTCCCCCAAGACCCTTGATGCTGTGGTCCACCTCGTACACACAGGGAAACAGGGACGCAAGGAGCTTAAAAACTCGACATCAGCGAGGCAGAAGAGCGATATATTCAGCCCAAAAGTGCACAAGCGGTCCCCACCGACGGAGGAATGCGGCGCGGATCCTCCGCCAGTTAAACCACCCAAAAATGACAGTACCGTGGACAGGGTGATTGACGTAGCAGTGATTGTTCCGTGTAATGCCTCGCACCAGTACTCTCGGGTGAAGGTCCTGCCTGTGGTGGAACTAGCGGTGAGGCACCTCCGAGAGACAGGTCTTAGAGGACCACTTCAGAACTACACCATTAATGTCACCTACAGGGACTCAAGGACCTCCTCCACCTTCGGCCCTCTGGCGGCCGTCGACCTGTACTTCAATAACTCAGCAGGTAAGCTAATTACACCTTTCTTGATTGTTTAGAAAGAACATGATCACCACACACAAGATTCTCAGAAGAATCGACAGGGGTAGATAAAAATAAACTATTTAACACTGGTGGGACACGAACAAGGGGACACAGGTGGAGACTGAGTACCCACATGAGCCACAGGGACGTTAGAAAGACCTTGTTCAGTGTGGGAGTAGTTAACAGAATGCATTAGGCAGTGATGTGGTGGAGGCTGACTCCATACACAGTTTATAATGTAGATATGATAGAGCCCAATAGGCTCAGGAACCTGTACACCAGTTGATTGTCAGTTGAGAGGCAGGACCAAAGAGCCAAAGCTCAACCCCCGCAAGCACAACTAGGTGAGTACCTGTTAATTAGTTAATCACTAGTTCCCCAATTCCAGCAAATTACCCTGTGGCTTGTTACCTAAACTGGTGGTTGAGTAGTTAAAGATCTGTGGGCAGTTAGCCCTCTCAGGGTAGTTAAGTGATTCGTCTCAGTATTCATTAGAATTCATCAGCTTTACATGTCGTCTAGGGAACTTTCCCTGTCGTCTAGGGAACTTTCCCTGTCGTCTAGGGAACTTTCCCTGTCGTCTAGGGAACTTTCCCTGTCGTCTAGGGAACTTTCCCTGTCGTCTAGGGAACTTTCCCTGCCGTCTAGGGAACTTTCCCTGTCGTCTAGGGAACTTTCCCTGCCGTCTAGGGAACTTTCCCTGTCGTGTTGGGAACTTTCCCTGTCGTGTAGGGAACTTTTCCTGTCGTGTAGGGAACTTTCCCTGCCGTCTAGGGAACTTTCCCTGTCGTGTAGGGAACTTTCCCTGCCGTCTAGGGAACTTTTCCTGTCGTGTAGGGAACTTTTCCTGTCGTGTAGGGAACTTTTCCTGTCGTGTAGGGAACTTTTCCTGTCGTGTAGGGAACTTTCCCTGCCGTCTAGGGAACTTTCCCTGTCGTGTAGGGAACTTTCCCTGTCGTCTAGGGAACTTTCCCTGCCGTCTAGGGAACTTTCCCTGTCGTGTAGGGAACTTTCCCTGCCGTCTAGGGAACTTTCCCTGTCGTGTAGGGAACTTTCCCTGTCGTCTAGGGAACTTTCCCTGCCGTCTAGGGAACTTTCCCTGTCGTGTAGGGAACTTTCCCTGTCGTCTAGGGAACTTTCCCTGCCGTCTAGGGAACTTTCCCTGTCGTGTAGGGAACTTTCCCTGTCTACCCACTATAGTAGACCTCTGATAATCTGCTACAGTGGACTTCGGATATTAACATATTCATAAAGATTTAATGAAGAGAAGGGAAAATTTGTTTTGAAAAAATATGAATAATTTTTTGTATGAATTATTTTGAGACGTGGAATTGGAAAAGTTTAGATTTATAAACAAAATTGGCTGTAAACAGTTATGGGAAAATTGTTTACTAGGGCTTATAATAGGCCTAAATTGGATATAATTGTATCTGATACACGTTTGTGAGTTAGAAATTTTTCAGATATTCAAAATGGGGGTCAGTAGGCTTTCTGCAATTGCATGTAGGCCTATGCACTCAAAAGTTGCAATATGCACTGACGGGAAGACACGAAGAGAGACAGAGAGGGGGGGGAGAGGAGAGACAGAAGAGACAGAGAAGTGACGACACCCACTCAGACAGAGATTTGGCAACAATGTGGCGCCTGGTCGAATGTAAATATTTACCTCTGACACGTGCTGGTTTTGGCGCCAAACTTGGGGTGGGGGGGGGGGGGTGGGGGGGGAGTAAATGTTGCTATGGGCCCCAGTGACCCCCCTCCCCCCCCTAGGCTGTCAGCTGTAACTGCTGAAGAAACCAATTAATGATTTCTGAAATCCCGAAAAATGCATTTTAAACAAATCATTAAAACTGCTTGCAAGTTTATCATTTTGCAACAAAGCCTTTTTTTCAGCCATTGTTGGAATTAAAAGCCTCTCCAAGTGTATGGAAACTCCCCCAAGATGACAGACTTCTCTATAACCACCTGTTGCACCATTGTTGCAAATCTGATTGACTGAATTGCCAGATTGAATTGAAATCAACATAGAATATAGAAGCTGTCTCATGTCTGCCATGTTAACCACTATCAAACCCAATATGGGTTGAGAGGTCGTTAGTCTCCAGAGACCTTCAACCATCGTTTAGATGAGGGATTGGAAAGCCCAATCGCTTCAACTCGACTATGGTTTACTGCTCTTGTTCTCTCTCTGCTCGTTAATTGAGGCCTGTGTGGTGTTGAAATATATAAGATAAGGCGCTTTGAATTGTCACTTCCAGACAAAATTATCAGTTTGCAACAGTTTGGTGTTGATACAGAGATAAGAAAATATGTGGACAATATTATTGTGACCAGTGGGACAATATTATTGTGACCACCTGGACAATATTATTGTGACCAGTGGGACAATATTATTGTGACCAGTGGGACAATATTATTGTGACCACCTGGACAATATTATTGTGACCAGTGGGACAATATTATTGTGACCAACTGGACAATATTATTGTGACCACCTGGACAATATTATTGTGACCACCTGGACAATATTATTGTGACCAGTGGGACAATATTATTGTGACCAGTGGGACAATATTATTGTGACCACCTGGACAATATTGTGACCAACTGGACAATATTGTGACCAACTGGACAATATTGTGACCAACTGGACAATATTATTGTGACCAGTGGGACAATATTATTGTGACCAGTGGGACAATATTATTGTGACCAGTGGGACAATATTATTGTGACCAGTGGGACAATATTATTGTGACCAGTGGGACAATATTATTGTGACCAGTGGGACAATATTGTGACCAGTGGGACAATATTATTGTGACCAGTGGGACAATATTGTGACCAGTGGGACAATATTATTGTGACCAGTGGGACAATATTGTGACCAGTGGGACAATATTATTGTGACCAACTGGACAATATTGTGACCAGTGGGACAATATTATTGTGACCAACTGGACAATATTATTGTGACCACCTGGACAATATTATTGTGACCAGTGGGACAATATTATTGTGACCAGTGGGACAATATTATTGTGACCAACTGGACAATATTATTGTGACCAGTGGGACAATATTATTGTGACCAACTGGACAATATTGTGACCAGTGGGACAATATTATTGTGACCAACTGGACAATATTATTGTGACCACCTGGACAATATTATTGTGACCAGTGGGACAATATTATTGTGACCAGTGGGACAATATTATTGTGACCAACTGGACAATATTGTGACCAGTGGGACAATATTATTGTGACCAACTGGACAATATTGTGACCAGTGGGACAATATTATTGTGACCAACTGGACAATATTGTGACCACCTGGACAATATTATTGTGACCAACTGGACAATATTATTGTGACCAGTGGGACAATATTGTGACCAGTGGGACAATATTATTGTGACCAACTGGACAATATTATTGTGACCAGTGGGACAATATTGTGACCAGTGGGACAATATTATTGTGACCAACTGGACAATATTATTGTGACCAGTGGGACAATATTATTGTGACCAACTGGACAATATTGTGACCAGTGGGACAATATTATTGTGACCAGTGGGACAATATTATTGTGACCAACTGGACAATATTGTGACCAGTGGGACAATATTATTGTGCCCAGTGGGACAATATTATTGTGACCAGTGGGACAATATTATTGTGACCAACTGGACAATATTATTGTGACCAGTGGGACAATATTATTGTGACCAGTGGGACAATATTATTGTGACCAACTGGACAATATTGTGACCACCTGGACAATATTATTGTGACCAACTGGACAATATTATTGTGACCACCTGGACAATATTATTGTGACCAGTGGGACAATATTATTGTGACCAACTGGACAATATTATTGTGACCAGTGGGACAATATTATTGTGACCAGTGGGACAATATTATTGTGACCAGTGGGACAATATTATTGTGACCACCTGGACAATATTATTGTGACCAGTGGGACAATATTATTGTGACCAGTGGGACAATATTATTGTGACCAACTGGACAATATTATTGTGACCAGTGGGACAATATTATTGTGACCAGTGGGACAATATTATTGTGACCAACTGGACAATATTATTGTGACCAGTGGGACAATATTATTGTGACCAGTGGGACAATATTATTGTGACCAGTGGGACAATATTATTGTGACCAGTGGGACAATATTATTGTGACCAACTGGACAATATTGTGACCAGTGGGACAATATTATTGTGACCAGTGGGACAATATTATTGTGACCAACTGGACAATATTGTGACCAGTGGGACAATATTATTATGACCAGTGGGACAATATTATTGTGACCAACTGGACAATATTATTGTGACCACCTGGACAATATTATTGTGACCAGTGGGACAATATTATTGTGACCAACTGGACAATATTGTGACCACCTGGACAATATTATTGTGACCAACTGGACAATATTATTGTGACCAGTGGGACAATATTGTGACCAGTGGGACAATATTATTGTGACCAACTGGACAATATTATTGTGACCAGTGGGACAATATTGTGACCAGTGGGACAATATTATTGTGACCAACTGGACAATATTGTGACCAGTGGGACAATATTATTGTGACCAGTGGGACAATATTGTGACCAGTGGGACAATATTATTGTGACCAGTGGGACAATATTATTGTGACCAACTGGACAATATTGTGACCAGTGGGACAATATTATTGTGCCCAGTGGGACAATATTATTGTGACCAGTGGGACAATATTATTGTGACCAACTGGACAATATTATTGTGACCAGTGGGACAATATTATTGTGACCAACTGGACAATATTGTGACCACCTGGACAATATTATTGTGACCAACTGGACAATATTATTGTGACCACCTGGACAATATTATTGTGACCAGTGGGACAATATTATTGTGACCAACTGGACAATATTGTTGTGACCAGTGGGACAATATTATTGTGACCAGTGGGACAATATTATTGTG